GTAACTAAGTACAAATACTTTGTTATTGTACTTAAGAAGAAATTTTGGTTATCTGTACTTTACTTGAGTAATTATTTTTCAGCGTACTTTTTATTTTTTATTTTTACCCATCACAGCTGCACGCTGTTAGAAAATATATTTTTTGGAGAAGTCACCTCCCAATAAATGTCATTTTGGGAAATCTAACCTCTCACTTTCAGTACTTTTACTTTTAATACTTAAGTAGATTTTGTGTCAGAAATTTACTTTTGATAATTAAGTACAAAAAATATCAGATACTTTAAGACTTTTACTCAAGTAATATTTTTAGAGAAGACTTTAACTATTACCAAAGTATTTTTATGATAAAATACTTGTACTTTTACTCAAGTATCACTTTGAGGTACTTTATTCAACACTGCTCTTTATATTAACATCAAAAATGACTCAATAAATTTACATAAATTTAAGATTCAGACCAAACAGTAATCTATTATCATAACCAACAAGTCATATCTCTGGATAAGCTGATGATATCAGGATGATCCAGGTGTCAAAATGTAGCTTTTAAAGCAGGAATTTAAAAATGTAATTAGGTCATTTTGACCAAATTTGACTTGATCCTTATTTCGATATGAAGGCTCACATTTCCTCCCTCAGTTTCTTACTTTGGCGTTGCGGACGATGTGAGCTTTGACGGTAGCGGCGAGCTGGTCCTGGTGGTCGGGGCTGGAGAGCCAGCGCTGCCGTTCGGCCGGCAGGGAGGCCAGGGCCGTGTCGGTGGGCCAGAAGACGGTGAACGGCTGGTGGATGGACATCTGGAGCACTGGGAGTAAACCTGCATCCTGAACACAAGGAGTTGATCAGATCCCACAATCCTCTGCTTAAACTCAACTCACAGCTGCAGCTTCTTGTTTTTACCTCAATGAGTTTATAGAAGCGGGTGTAACCGTACAGCATGGCCGCTGAGCTGAAGTTCATCTAAAAACAGACACGCAGGTAAGACGCTGTTTACTCAGATTTCACATGAATCCTAATGAACCCATCGGACCGTTTTAAACTCCAGCTGTGGTTTTTCCTCCAGCTTGTAGGGCGTCAGCAGCGTGTCGATGTGGTGAATAACTCCATTACTGGTCTGGTAATCGCTCTTCACGATCCTCGACACGTTGTTGATCCACACTGAACCCTGCAGAGACAGAAGCAGGTTTCTGCAGCTTCAGGAGGAAACAATGACAGCTGCAGACATTTGAACAGAAAGGTTTTAATGTGACTGCACAGGATGATGACAGAAATCTGAAGAATTCAATAAACGTATAATTAAAAAATATGTAAAATAGTAAATCAGTACAGATAAAGTGGGATAAAATTACACAGAACAATGTGAATTTAAAAGGCAGACAGGCTTTAGGTAAAAACTGTTTCCAGTCTGTTTGTTCTGGATTTGAACGTTCTGTATTTCCCTCCTGAGGGCAGGGGATCTGTTGAATATCTGCAGAGCGTTCCTCTCAGCCTCTGAACAACCTGAACACCACACTGCAGAGGAAAACGCTCAGGACTCACCCAGCTGCTCCTTTACTCTGATAAATACACACCTGGGACACCTGCCTGATGACCGAACCCCCTCAGCTGACTCTTCACTGAGGAGCAGCTGTAATCTGAGCTCCTCCCCCAGGATCCAGGATCCAGTTCTTTCAGACATGATCTAAACCTCAGGACCACAGCTGAGCTGCTTCTTCACCACAACAGACCAGAGCAACGCCCTCATCGCTACAGACAAGACCCCAAACCTTCGGTCCAGTTCTGGATCAATCCTGCCTCTGGGCTCATTTCTGAGGGACGTCTGGTCCAGGATTCACCAGGGGAGGAGCTGCAGCTTCTTCTGGGCACAAAGACGAGCTCGTTCCTGGTTCTGGTCTTTGCTTTTAGTCATTGATTGATTGATTGAGTGATTGATTTCAGCTTCAATTTTTGCAGATTTCAGCTTACATTTAGCTTGTTTATTTGCTGATTTCAGCTTTTATTTTTGCTGATTTCAGCACGCCTTTTTATTAATTTCAGCTTACATTTTTCTAATTTTAGCTTGTATTTTTGCTGATTTCAGCTTGCATTTTTATCAATTTCAGCTTGAATTTTTGCTGATTTCAGCTTATATTTTAGCTGATTTCAGCATGCATTTTTTATTAATTTCAGTTAAAAATTTTGCTGATTTCAGCTTAAATTTAAGCTGATTTCAGCTTGAATTTTTATTAATTTCAGCTTGAATTTTTATTAATTTCAGCTTGAATTTTTGATGAATTCAGCTTGAATTTTTATTAATTTCAGATTGAATTTTTGCAAAACGAGTTTCTGCAGTTTTAAATATTTTATTGCAGTCCTTCATAACTATGTCTTATTGGTCTTATCTTTGCTGTGTCATGTTTCAGCTGTTATAGCTTTGTTCAGGTTGTTGTAAAGCGTTTTATAAATAAAGCTGGATTGAATGGTGCCTTTAAACCACGAGCTTCAGCTGCACAGAGGTGGGTCACAGGCAGGGTCTGAGTCATCTCCTGCACTCAACCTTGTTTTATTTTTACTCCTTTAACTCGTCACTTGGGGCAGATCCTGTAAGAAGCTGAAGGCTTGTTGTTGATTCTTCTCTTAAAGGAGATTATTTATCGTTTTTAGTTAAATTGAAGGAGTGAAGGTGGTCTACTGAAGACGTTACCTGCTGCACGCTGAAGTCCAGAGGGTATCCTGACACAGAGAGGGCACGTTTGGTGGTTTTGAGGTCACTTAAGGTCAGAACCTCACAGGAAACTACGTGGTAACGCACCAGGTGCTCTATATGACCCGCCCTCTTCCACTCGTCCACCTGAAGCCACACGAGGAATCGATCAAACGTTACGCATCATCAGGAATCATTAAAACAGGCTAACGTCAGGGCGCTGCTCTCACAGTGGACTGATTGTTGGATTTCTCCAGAGGTACGAAGACAGTGTACGGTCCGTCGCCATAAAGAGCAGGAGACTCTGTTTTCTGCAAGAGAAACAAGGCGTTGCTCATCTGTAGCAGCACAACGTTGACAAACAAAGATGTCTCATCAGAGCTCGTGACTCACAGATAACATCAGCCGAAAGAAGGCGTTCTCCGGCTGACGGTACAGCTCCTGCAGGACAGAGAACAGCGTCCGGTGAGGGGGAGGAGTTCAGCAGTGAGAGGTCAGAGGTCACCAGACTCACGTTGGTGGTGCTTCCTCTGCAGTCGAAGCCGTCGCCCACGTGGCCTCTGAAGCAGGTGCAGTTCCTCTGACCCAGACCCATGTACTCACACCTGGCGAATTTACTGCAGCCGCCGTTGTTCTGCACACAGACACACAACTTTTAAATAATAACCATCAACAATCCTCTGTACAAGGCTTCAGAGTTACGGTTAGTTCCTGCTGCGTTTGGAAGCACTCTGATCTTTGTAGGATTGGTGACTCAGACGTACGGTTCTGCAGGGGTTGACGGGATAACAGAACTTTCCTGACCCTTGAAAGCCCGACCGGCAGCTGCAGGCGGTCTGCACACAAGACAGGAAGACAAAAAATCATGTAACTGCATTTCTGGCGAAAATGCTACTGTGAATGCCTCCTGCTGATAACGTTAGCTGAAGAACAGCCAAGAAACAAACTGATGATGTCATTGATGTGACTGATGATGTCACTGATGAGGGCTCTGATGTCACTGATGACATCATCATGATGTCACTGATACATCACCATGTATTTCAATGGGAGCAAACCTTGCAGAAAAAGCTGAATATCTCAAAAAAATTAAAAGATATCGATACCAAGAGATAAAGCAAACATCTCCTGACCGAGCTGAACGTTTTGATGTATAAATTGTGGAAATTGCACAAAAATTGCGGAACAAACGTACAGAAGAAACAGGAAGTTTAATAAAGAATAAATAGAAACATGAAAACAACTGTGTGAATGCTGGAGGATTCACACAATTATAACCAGTAATTTTGAGTCCATTTGAAGAATTAACACTTAAAAGCTGATGCAGAAACCTCAGAACTGAAGCACCAAAACAGAAAGAAAAGGTTCCATCTTGACATGTACTGGATTTATTTCAGCTGTTTCTTACAGTATTCGGCCCAGTTCTGATGCATTCGGCTGATTTGTGGCAGCCCCCGTTGTTGACCAGACAGCCATCGATTTCTGCAAACAGACAAGTTAGAATTAAAATTTCACGATGTATTTTAAAACCCAACGGGAAAGCTTCAGAGCTGAAACACTGATGTGATTAGGTTTAATAAAGTGAAATATTTACAAAGCTGCATAATTTAAATTGTATTTTTAGTCTTTTACTCTTGATGAGTTTTAAAACATGTTGAGGGACTGAAGCCTGAGAGACAAAACTCAGGGCTAAAGGCAGAAACGGATATAATTTCCTCTCTTCCACTGCAGACACTCAGTTCTGTCTGAACCTTTAATATCAGATATTCAGGACTTGTTCCTGGTCTCACAGGAAACAGGAAGTGTTTCACTTTACCCAGGCAGACGACTCCGTCTCCAGTGTAGCCCTGATTACAGGCGCAGGTCCTCTCTCCGCCTGAGACCTTCGTGCAGACAGCAAACTTGGAGCAGCCGCCGTTCGACCTGCTGCACAGATCCACCTCTGGGAGTCAGAGAAGAGGTCAGAGGTCAAAGGTCAGAGCGTGATGAGTTTGACAACGTGCTGAACGTCCGTTTTTACCTTTGCAGAAGGTTCCGTTTCCCTCGTATCCAGCGACACAGGAACAGGCAGCAGCTGATCCCTGTGGACCTGTTACACAGCTGCAGGAGAGGAACTGTTAATAACAACTGTAATAACACCCCCCCCCCCCCCTCATAAAACCATCCTTCAGCCGACACTTTCATTCAGAGCAGGGCTTTAAAACCAAACTTCACTGATATTTAACTTAAAATATACAATAAAGATGATTTTCTTTGGGTCAATACAAAAATAAGTTACGTCTGTTTGTAGTTATTTAAAAAAAACTCAAAATGTGTTTTATTTCACACTAATAAACAAGCATTTGATAAATAATACAGATTATTTTACTGGAGCCATGTTGCTTCATTGTGACGAGTTATTTAGGACTGCTCCGGGTAAAAAGATGAGCTGTTGCTCCGGTCTGACAGGAGATGTTGCTCCAGTCTGACAAGAGATGTTGCTCCGGTCTGACAGGAGATGTTGCTCCGGTCTGACAGGAGATGTTGCTCCGGTCTGACAGGAGATGTTGCTCCGGTCTGACAGGAGATGTTGCTCCGGTCTGACAGGAGATGTTGCTCCAGTTTAACAG